TTTGTACCCCTGCAGTCTTACCTTTGCTTCCTCCCAGGCTCCCACAAACTTGCTCAGTCTATCCATGGCGTCCCTTGGGCTCCCCCTCCCAGGAAAAGTGCCGTAAAAAAAAAAGAAAGAAAAGGGGGGGTGTTAGAGAGAAAGGAGGAAATAAAGTCTTTGGAAAGCAGAGAGTTTTACAACAGCCACAGGTTTTATGGAAGCAATTCCGTAATAACCTTCTACCTGCTCGCCTCCTTTCTGCTCCGCCTGCCGCCCACCCCGTTTGGCCTCCTGGATGCCCCCTCCCCTGGAGTCAGACACCTCATTGCTGGGATATCCATGATGGCTGAGAATTGGTAAGAAGATTCCTGAGGTCGGTTGGGGCCACTGACCTCCCGGTTCTTCCTTTCACCTCTGACATTCCCGGAGGGAGGTTGGCAGAAGATTTCGTTACATTGCAACTAAGATTCACACTTAGGAATGTGAAAGTATCCAGGTTGGAACTCAAGTGTGTACATTCGATAGGATACCAGTTATCGATGCACAGTTAGCTCTTATTGGATGTCATTTGGGATCAACGGTGAAGGTTCTGGGATCTTGATTTCTCCTCAGATAGAATAAGAGTCCCCACACCTCATACTTTTCCAGAATTGGGAATTCTAATCCTGGGATCAAAAAATATATATCCACAGTGGGCGGTACTGGAGGGGGGAATGGATTGGGGACTTTGACCATTTATTTACACAAAGGTACTTTTTACATGGCCTCCAGCATTCCTTGAGAACTTTCACTCAGCTCATGGATGTCCACCTCTTCTTGACACTTGTGCAGGACAAGTGTGCATAAGTCACTGTACTTACAACCTCCCCTACCTCAGGTGCCCTCTAGCATGAAATAAACATCACAAAAAGCATGCTGTCCCTGTAGGTTTGGGACAAGATATTCAGTCAAAGGTACATCATGGTTAGACAACAAAGTTACCAAATTTTATGATCTCTCCTGGGCCAGTTTGAGGTCTTTCCTTTACCTTTGGAGAAATGTTCTTGTAGCAAATTGTGATAGAATCTAGCTTTTAAAACACCTTCATATATTTTGCTTGAATATCAGTTTAAGGGACAGATTTTCCAGTGAGGTTTTCCAATCAGCTAATATTTTATAGCCACAATTCAGGTACTCATATACCCAGATTTTTGCCTATGCCATAGATGGGTTAGTGGTTAGAAAAGTGTTCATATAAGCTTTAAGGCGACAGATCTTTTTGTATATATTTTGCTTGAATATCAGTTTAAGGAACAGATTTTCAAGTGAGGTTTCCCAATCAGCTAATATTTTATAGCCACAATTCAGATACTCAAATACCCAGATTTTTGCTTATGCCATAGATGGGTTAGTGGTTAGAAAAGTGTTCACACAAGCTTTTAGGTGATAGATCTTTTTGTAGGCACAGAATCCTTAAACCATACCATTCAGTGGTTCTACATGTATCTCCAGATACACAACTAGATCTTCTATACACCCAAGCCCATCCAGTATCATACTTGGGCAGACTTGTTTACTACATACTCTGTACATAGTACAGAACCCAGCAGCATCTTTGTCCACTCAGTTTCCCTTACAAAGATATTGGTTTGAAATAGACATACTGGATAAACACCTATTCATACTCAGTATTTGTCCATTTCAGCCTAGCTTATTAATTAAAAAGAAACTTATTTTCCCTTTTCTCATTTATTGCTTTCCTTTTAATTTTTCTTTTCTTCCCTTCTCTGCCTCTTGATTTTCTCTCTTATTGGTAAGGCCCCTTCTAAAAGGCACCCACCGAAGTACAAGAAACTCACCGGCTAATTCAGACCAGCCTCGTTGTCCTTTTCCTCAGCTGTCCTGGATCCCCGTGTGATCACGGGCTGCTGCTTTTTCCTGCCTGCTCTTCCCATGTCACCAGCCAGCAGTCGCAGTGTTCAGGCAAGGCTCTGGTGCAAGGACTGGCAGGAGGTTGCAGGAAAGACCAGGCTTTGTGGTTGTTTTTTCCCCCTTCTTTCTCTTCAGGATGGGGGTGGGGTGCTGAGCAGTTCACTCTCAGAACCAAGTGACCCCACTGAAGTCACTCCTGTATGATGTGTCTTTAGCAGCTGATTTCCAGGGACCACAATCTGGTTTACTCCCCTCTGTCATGGTAGGTAGCATTGGTTGGAGAGTGGGAAAAAAAAAATAGGGGGGAGTCTACAGGTTCTCAGAGTATCCAAGAAGGGGTGCTCTCCCAGATTACCCTATCATTTGCCTGAGTTGAAGTTGAACTGAAATGTGGGGGAGCAATGCTTTCCAGGAAACTTGTTGGGGTGACCCTGCCCTGTTGCATTCCTCTTCCCACCTGGAGGGAGATGAACTGGACCTGGGGCAAGTTCATTCTCTTCCCTATAGAAGAAAGGGAAGAGCAACACCACCACCAAACCTTGTCATTTTAAAACTGTTGCCACTCCCTAACTTCTTTGCAAGCAAAGACTAAGCTTTGGTCTCTGAAAAGAGGCTGGGCTCCCTCCTTCACCTACCCCCAGCCACCTTTAGGGTTTGGGGACCACACCCTAAGTCAGCAACTAGAAAATCTGAACTCAGAGAGAGGTGCTGGAATGTCTCTCCCTTGCAGGGCACAAGTCTTGAACCCAAACATTTCTCTTTCTCTAACTCCTTCCATACATGAAGCCACCTTATTGACTCCTGAGACAGCTAGGGCAGAGAAAGGGAACTTGGCAGACCAAAATCCAAGCCCAGCGTCTGCACAGCTTGGGTCTTGTGAACAGCCCAGCTCTGTGACTTTTCCATAAATAATCATCGTCATAATAAAAAAGCCCCAGACCACAGTTCACATGTCCTTTTGGGCCCTAATTTATATACTACAGAAAATCATATAGTCAGCCCGCCATGCTTCATAAAGCTGTTATTTATGGCAAGGGGGAGGGGATTTTTTTTTTTCCTGAAGAGTGTATTTATTACAGGTAAAGCCGGCATCACACTCCATACGTCTGGCAAATCGGGAACAGGTGCTTTGCCTTAACTGAGATTCATTCACTGCGTGCCCAGCTTTTTCCCTGGCGATTCCGGGGAGCTTCCACGACCTTCCCCAGCCTCCAAAGGCCACTTAGAAGAATTTGCATGGGATTTTGTTTCTCCACTTGGGTCCTATGGAAAAAAGCAGATCTTCACGCTGTTTGGTTCCGGATCTCCGGGGCTGTCTTCCTCAGAGAGCGGGTGTGAAGAAGAGGGGGCCGGCTGGGCGCCAGCATTGATCTTTAAAAAATCATTTTGAAATCGCCATAATGTGAAGAAATACGGCACTTTGCCCTCGTATTTCACACGTAATGACAGGAGATGGCTTCATTTGGAAAGAAAAACTGGCGAGAGAGTGTCTGTGCGTGTGCAGAGGTGATCTTCAGCCTTTCACAGGGTAGAGGGTTTAAAAAAAAAAACTACCCCAAGTTAGAATGGCCCTATTTTTTAAAAAAGACTTGGGGGGGAGCAAGGCCATAGCTCTGGGGGAAAGCCTGTCTTGTAATGGCCCAGCAGCAGTGATTTGACAAGAAATCTCTCCCTAAAGTCAACCCGAGGGACTCTGATCTGTCCAGGGGCCTTGCCTCCCAAAGCTCTGCTGCAGGAGAGACAACTGCACCCAGGCAGAGAGACTGTAGAAGCGAAGGCTGGGAGAAGAGCCAGGAAGCCAGCCCGTGGCCCCCAGAGAGCCCTGAGCTGGGCCGCAGAGCAGATTCTAATAAAACGGACTATTGGGAAGTTCCTTCCAGGGGATCCATGGGGAGGGAAGACAGCCAGCGAGGGACAGACGGGAGGGAGGGGGTGTCGCTGTACATGCTAGTCCTTTTCTGATATTTGGAAGTTGTCCAGAAGAGCGATTATGGGTGAGAAACACTGGATAAGATTATTGGAATTTTGACCTTTTCTGGGTGGAATGGAAGGTAACTGGAGCCTTTTACATGCTGGTGGGTACCCTGTCCCCAATGCTTTGCTCTGGTAACAACTTCCTTAATCTTTTATTTAATTCCCTCATGGGGGCAATTCAGGGGGCCTGGGTAGTTTCTCAAGTGAAGGCAAGGAGAGATGGCTGCGCCCCACACTGGTTCTCAAAGACAAGAAATTTCAAGTTGTTCAACCTAAAGACCAGTTAGTTGTATGAAACACTTTCTATGGGGGTTTAAGTTCCGGGGCTTGATGAACCCCTTTGGCCTCAAGCTGGTTCTGAATGTAGGATAGACACTGCCTACATAGATGGTTGGGAATTCACCCCATTTTATTCCCTGTTCTCCCACAGCCGCTGAAGGATCAGAGGAAAGGCCCATTCATGTAAATCTCCCCCCCAACATTGCACCGAGCCCCCTCCAAAGCGGGTGACTTCCTATTAAACCCTAACTTCTCTTTCCCCTCCATCCTGTTACTGCATCTCCTGTGGATTGCTGTTGCTTAATAAACATCTTCTGTCTAGGGGACAGAGGAGAGGAAATGAGGGCCTGGCGGGGTGGAGTGGAGGTGCTGGGGAGGGGAGACTGGACTGCCTCCTCTTTAATTATCCTGTTGGGCCTCTGCCTGCATGCTCTCTGGGATGGGTCTCTCTCTCTCTCTCTCTCTCTCTCTCTCTCTCTCTCTCCCTCCCTCCCCCCTCCTGTGATTGCTCTCCCTCCCTCTCCCACCCGCTTGGGGAGAGGGCTCCACAGCTTGCGTCCCTCCCAAGGCAGCCCGCTGCTTGCCTCCGCCCCCACTCCGCCCCACGTCGTGAACCCCCGTCCCCCTCCTCTCCTTTCTGCAAAGGCGGGAGGGGCCCGGGGCGGCCCGCTGCTCCGGCTGAGGTTACGTGGCCGCCGGAGCCCTGACGTGATAGCACATTGCATCAGCATAAAACAATCCATCCTCGATATGGAATGCGGTGCCGACGGATGACAGCGAGAGCGCAGCCCCCGCGCCCGGATTGATTTATGTCGGAGCTGACGCTTTATCAGGCAGTCGGAAAAACTTTGACCAATCATTTTGCAAGGAGCGCCGAGCCGGGCTGCTCCACTGTACTTTGTTGGCTGAGAAGTTGAGCAGGGGGTGGGGGTGGGAGGGTGGGGGGCTAGGGTGTGGGGGTGGGGGGTCGCGTCCGAAAGCCCTTCACACCGGTCCGGGTGCCACCTCTCCCTGGCTCGGGCGCCGCGGCCGCGCGCGGGCGCTTCCCCTTCCCCCTGCGAAGCGTCCGGATAATGTCTGAGAATGTCCATTTCTGGGACGCTTAGCAGCTATTATGTCGACTCGATCATAAGTCACGAGAGTGAGGACGCGCCTCCAGCCAAGTTTCCTTCCGGCCAGTACGCGAGCCCCCGGCAGCCGGGCCACGCGGAGCACCTGGACTTCCCCTCGTGCAGCTTCCAGCCCAAGGCGCCGGTGTTCGGCGCTTCGTGGGCGCCGCTGAGCCCGCACGCGTCCGGGAGCCTGCCGTCCGTCTACCACCCCTACCTGCAGCCCCAGGGCGTGCCGCCGGCCGAGAGCAGGTACCTCCGCACCTGGCTGGAGCCCGCGCCGCGCGCCGACGCGGCCCCGGGGCAGGGCCAGGCGGCGGTGAAGGCGGAGCCGCTGCTGGGCGCGCCTGGGGAGCTGCTCAAACAGGGCGCGCCCGAGTACAGTTTGGAAACTTCGGCGGGCAGGGAGGCCGTCCTGTCTAATCAAAGACCCGGCTACGGGGACAATAAAATTTGCGAAGGAAGCGAGGACAAAGAGAGGCCGGATCAAAGTAAGTTATAAAAAGTGAGGAAATAGCCAGGCCGAAGGCCGGGCGAGGGGGAGGGGAGGGCGAAGGCCATAAACGGCGGACAATGTGCCGGGAACGCGCGGCTGTGGTCCCAGAGCCGGGAGGGGGGGTGGAGGAAAGGGAAAAAGAAGGGGGGGAGAAAGCTGGGTGCCCCGGAAGGGGGTACACTGAGTCCCGCGGGCCCAGCGCCGCTCCCCGCCCCCGCCCCTCCGCGGCTCACTTCTCTTTTTAAGTCCTGCAGGGAACTGGGGCTCTGGGACCAACTCACTGCCTGCCCCCCCCCACCATGGTCCTCCAATCCCAGGCTGATAAAAACAAACCCCACAGCGATAAACGGGCGATCGCCGGGAGAGGAGCTGGAGGGGGCCGGGCTGGTGGCCGGGGAGGCCGGGAGCCGGCGCGGGCACGGGTCGGGGCTGCCCGGGGCCGCGCGGCTGGCAGGGCTCCCCGCGCCACGCGCGCACCGTCAAAGCCGGCCAAGGGGAAGGGGGAGGGGGCTCATTAGGATTTTATTTGCGATGCAACAGCTTGGCGGAGGATCGTTCCTCGCAGACCGCGCGCAGTAGCGGTTCTGGGTCTACCGCTGGCGCCCGGAGGGGCGGGGAGGGGGGGGAGAGCCCCGGACGCGGTGACTGCGCCCCCTCCCCGGATGCGCGGCCCCTCCCCGGGAGCCTTCCCTCCGGTGATCCCCTCCCCTCTTCGGCGGCGTCCTCGCCCTGGCGGCCTCCCGCTTCCTCCCCCCCCCCGGGCTCCCGCTGTTCTCCGCGGGGATCCGCAGCTCCAGCTCGGGCTGTCTGCCTCGCAGGGAGTCCCGGAATCACTTCCGAATTTCGAGGGCCTGCCGCCGGGGTGGATCGGGGACGTCTCGGAGGGACTCCAGGGAGAGAAGGCGGGGGGGGGCGGGGGAGAGCTGAGGAGAGGCTGAACAACTTTGCACTTAGTAGGTAGTTTCTTATCCCTCCTTGCTCCTCCAGTAACAACACCCTCGCAGGAACCCCAAGTCTGGCCAGATTCGCCAAGGTGTGTGTGTGTGTGTGTGTGTGTGTGTGTAAGGTTGCTAGGAGCAATCTAATTGGAGGCTCTTAATCCCAAACAATACGCAGCCCCAAAGCTGGTCAAGTCCTCACTTGTTTTTAACTCGTGGGGAACCGGATGTTTAAGTCTTAGCTGATTCTGCCAGATTTCCCACCAACACACTGTCCCAGGAGCGCTTTGGGGGGGTCCCTGCCCACTGGAGGAGTAAGGAACTGCCTCACTCCTTGGAGGGGGGGCGCGCTATGGTCCCTCCACCTCCAACCTGCCAGGTAGAATGGTAAGAGCTGGCAGCACTGGGGAAAGTTCACGGCTTTTCCCAGACGCTCCTTCACACACTTAAAACAGACCCCTTGCCCTATTCCCTCCTCCCCAAACCCTGCCTGGAAAGCCCATTATTGTAGGGCAGCCATTTGACTAGGATCAATTATTAACAGTTCCCCCCCTTCATATTTAATGTGGCTGCAGGTCCCATTCCAGGCAATCACATTAAGGACACAGTGCTACAAATTGGTAAGACACGGTATTTAGTAGAGGATGAACTGAATATATATATATATATATATATATATATACACACACACACACACACACACACATATATAATGTTTAGTGCATTTCATCTGGGAAGAAGGAAGCTGGTAGAAGGTAGTTGATACTTTCAAGTGGCCCAGCTTCATCTGGTAACTTTATTCCGAATTCTATTGAGGGGAAGGGGGGAAAGCCCACATATATTTCCATCCCCCCTCCTGCTTTTTTTGGACCCACTTCCATTCACTTTTCCCATAAGGTCAGTGAAAAGACTGGGTGAACCCCTGTAGAAGGTTTTCTGGGTTACCTCCCCTCCCCCTCCCCTCTGGCTCCCCCACCTTGGAACTGGAGCAGTTTTGCTCCTCAATTTCCCTGCACTTGTGTTAAGCACAAGGCAAGCTGAGCAGCAGAAAAGAAGAGGCTATTGCAGCCATAAGTTATCTGTGAGCCCCGGCACTCCCCTGTCCATAGGCTGGAATTGATAAATGATTGCAATTGGGTTGCTTGTGAATTGGAGTGTGCTGGGTCTTTGCGGCTCTAAATGTGGATCCTTATTTGTGTGGTGGTGGCAGGGGAGGAGGGGGGAGAAATCTACAGACACGCACATCTGCTCCCTGTGGCCTAGAGAGGAGTGCTTAGTATGTTAGGTTTGGACTGCAAGGCTTGGGGTGTGGGAGTGTCCTGTCTCTTAGGCTGTGGCTGAATGGAACCCCCACTTGTTCCAGTCAATCCCCCCTTCTTCCTCGCAGACCTGGAGCTGGGGCACCCTCCAGATCAAGAACCCCCCTAGCCAGTCTAGTGGTGCTGGTAATGAGTCCTCCACCATCCTGGGCTATGATCTGAGCCCTGATCGGTTTGGATCTAAGTGGAGAAAGAAGTTGAAGCAGGCTAAGCTTGGAGAATTCCGAGGCACACAGAGAACTCCCCCAAATAAGCAGTCACCTAGAGGTGTCTATAGAAACGGTTGGCCCATCCCTGCGGGCCTCTCTGGGGATCTTGAAGGCCCAGGTGCACACTGGGTAGTGATGACCATGAGTGTACCCTCTTGGCCAGGGGTCCTTTACTCCCTTTCTTTGATTCTACCCCTGCTTCTCTTTCAGCCAACCCCTCTGCCAACTGGCTGCACGCCCGCTCTTCCCGGAAAAAGCGCTGTCCCTACACCAAATACCAGACGCTGGAGCTAGAGAAGGAGTTTCTGTTCAATATGTACCTCACCAGGGACCGCAGGCACGAAGTGGCCAGACTCCTCAATCTGAGTGAGAGACAAGTCAAAATCTGGTTTCAGAACCGGCGGATGAAAATGAAGAAAATGAATAAGGAACAGGGCAAAGAGTAAAAGTTCACCCCTGCCCTTCCCAGCCCTTCCCCACCTCGCTCTTATTTATGTGGTGGCTGCCCAGCCTGTGCTGCCTGGATGGATCCCCGTGAATGGGGAAGGGTGTCCCCCCTGAGCCCCTCATCTGTACCTCTCCTTCGCCTATCTGTACCTGTCCCTCTTTTCTCTGGGTATCAGGAGGAAGTGTTGTTGTGTTAGAAGCTAGAAGTAGTTAGTTCCTAGGAAGGTGATGGGTCTTCAGGGAAGAGAGACTCTAGTGAAGCTTCTAGCATCCCATCTCTAAATATCCTCCCCCCCCTGCCAAGCTCAGTTCCTCACTTCCAGCCTGCCTATCCCCTCCCCAACCCTTCCAGAAACCACCTAGGGCCAGCTCACCTACTCACAGCCCAGCAGATGCCCCCAGACAGGAAGTTTGGAGATCACACGAAATGTGGGGAGTGAAGTCATACCTAGAATTAGGCATGGAGCCCCAAATCCAGCAGAGCAAGGTCAGGTTCTAACGCTGCTGCCAGGGTTGGACTCCCGAATGGGGTGTTGTAGCCAGAAGTTCTAGCACCCCCACTAGCATCCCCCATGGATTGACCAGTTATACCCCTATGGAATGGGTGTGCTGGCAAATGGGGGGGCCAAGCCAGCTCCCCCAAGCCGGTGGACTAGAAAGGGCAAGAGAAGGCAGTCAGCGGTGTTATGAGGGTCTCTTAGGTAGAGCCCTCTCCTCATACATTGTGTTGCAGGAAATGTTTAGGTCTGCATGTTCTTTTCCTCGCCTTTCAACGAAGGAGGTCAAACTGTGGGTCCTAAAGCCTCGATGATGCCTTCCTCCTCTTCATCGGTGTGTGTGTCCCTCTTGACAAGACCCTAGCTGCTTTTGTGCTCCACGGGTCCTGCATTCTTCCACATCCCTTCCAGCTCCAAAATCAGTGCTCTGTTAGGCCAAATCCACCTTGCACCAGCAAATCAAGCTTCCCCTCGTAGGAAAAAAAAACCCACCCAAACTCCCTTCCCCTTTCCCTCCTGCTAGGTCACCCCCACTGTAGACGACAAGAAGGCCAGGTCAGGAAAGTCTGATGGAGAATTTATTGTGAATCGATTTCCCAGCTCCCTTTCTGGAACCTACTGTGGATGCGGGATAGGGTGGAGCTACGGCCCCAGCGGTGCAAAGCAGGTGCGGTTTCTTCACATCCTCAGCGTCCTGACCCACGCAGAGAAGCCCCCAGAAAGCTCCCCAACCCAGTGTCAAAGGGGGGGCCAGCCCCAGAGCCCCGGGCTCCCCCTCCTTGCTGCACTGGCCTGCTTGTCGATCCTGGCTGCAGGGTCTTTTGCAGTCCCGGGTGCAAAGCAAAGAGGCAAAACCGCAGCTCCACAAGGAGCAGAAAGAGGCATTCTCTGCTTCCTTTCTTCCCAGTGACTGCCCTGCCTCTTGCTCCCCTTCCGATTCCATGGACTCTTTTCTCCTGCTTCTCCTGACCTGCAAGGGGGGGGGGGAAACTGCTGTAGAATTTTGTTTTGTTTTGCCTTGTCAGTGGCCGTGGTGAAATTGTGCTTGTGTTTTGTGATTTCTTTTTCTTTTTGGAGATGATTGTCTCGCCTGTTTTCAGTTGTCGCTTCTAGGGGGAGGGTGGGCAGTTGGGAGGAAGGGAAGGGGATCTGGAGCCCTGAATGTTTGTTTTGGAAGAAAAAGAAAAAGTACAAAAATATATATCACTCTAGAAAATCAATCTCTCTGGAGTCTTATTTTGTGCTGTCTTCTTTATCTGGTCCTAAGTAAAGACCCCAAATATTTGGAGGGAGCATGGCTTGAAAAGAAAAGAAAGAAAGCTCCCAAGTATCCATCAGGTTTCTTCTTCGACTCCACCAAGCTCCCTAGCTCTGGCCAGGCTGTCCGCGAGGTCCAGACCCCAGGTCTAAGACTGCGGTGTACTCTGAGGCGTTCAGGAGATCAGGGAGACTACATGGGAAGGAGAGGAAATAGTGGTGGTTTGGGAAAGGAACTGGCTCTTCCCAAAGCAATGGGGTCCTCTCAAACAAGTTGCTCTGGGGACCTTCCTCCTCTTTGACCTGAGGTCTGCTGCACACCTCCTGGGGCTGCTGGGGAATACCAAGTAGGCCTAAGGACTCTAAGCTGCCATGCAAGGGAGGAAGGCAGCCGGCCCTCCACTATTCTCTGCAGCAGGAGCTGGGAGAAGCCTTGGTCGGATCAAATGAAGGAACCTCTCAGGACTCTGAGGATGGGCCCACACGCAGTCTTACTGTGAGGCCGGTTGAGTTTGATGGTGGCTGGGGAGGTGGCAACTCTCAGAAACCGGGAGAAGGAATGTGGGACACAAACATCTCAGGGATCCAGAGTTCAACTTGGTATCCAGATCCAGAGACACCCCCCTTCCCTCCCCAAGACCACGGGTTCCTGCAGGGCTGCGGGTGAAAATCCACAGTTCTTGGGCAGCCCTGCCGTCTCCTACAGGAGTTAGGATGCCAGCGCTGCGGGGCAGGTGCTCGCCGAGGCGGCCACGGAGTGGAGGGGGCCCAGTGCCGACCCAAGTATAAGCAGCTACAAAAGGCCAAGCCTACCCCTCTCCAACGAAAAGAACGACGGCCTGGAGAGACAGCCGAGCTGCTGTAACCCGGACAGGACCAGGCGCCCTTCAAGAAAGGTTCTGTGAAGGATGCAGCATAAATCTGCCTTTTTAGCTGCTAGAGACTAGGTTACCTCCTCCGATCTTGCTTCTCGGAGCCCAGGCCGAGCAGAAAATGAGCCCAGGAGGCCAATTTCTGCCAAAAGAAAACGCACAAGAACACACACACACGCAGGCTTTCAGTCGGATGGAGAGCCGCAGCGCAGGGTTGGGGCCACGGAGGAGCTTTGAGCGGCCCCCGGGGCGGTGTCTGGGTCCCCGGCCGGCCCGGGGTGGGCTTCTTTCAAGACAAACAAAGGCGAAGATTCGGGGAGGCTCGGAAGCCGGAGATGGGGAAATCAGTTGTCATAAAAGAGAGAGATTCAGAGAAGGGAGGCCGAGAGAGTGCGAGGCCCAGAGAAGCCGGGAGAGGAATTCAATGCCGTGTGCGCAGCAATAAAAGAATATGACCGCTATAAAAGTTTATAGCGTATAAATTTCTGAAGGTTAAGAAACTAAACAGCAGCAAAGCAAACAGTGAGGGGGAAACTTTCCGGAGCCCGGATTGCTGCAGCTGGGCTTCGGCTCTCGCCCTGGTTGGGGAAATGGAGGGGCCTCTCGATGGCAGCCCCCCCACCCCCACCCCCACCCCATCCTCAAGCGCTCAGGACTTGGGCTTGGGTTTCCGGGAAAGGGGGAGGAGGGGAGGTAAAAGAGAGGAGAGGAGAGAAGGGGGAGAGAAGAACACTTTGTTGTCACAAATGCTTCAGAGATCGTAATTCGGACTCTTTGTTCTTCACACCCCTGCAAGAATCAAGCCGTATAAACAAGAAGTCCCCGGCACTTACGCGCCAGACGTCTGGGCGAGCCCACTGCATCCTCCCCGGCCTCCCCTCCCCACCCCCCCAAAGCCCAATTGTTCTTGGAATTTAAAACAGTCGTGGAGGGTTTGAAAAGTGCTTGGTTCCTCCTTTTACGCATCATAAACGGCACACTGCTCGGCGATCTCCGCTAGAAATTAGGGACGGGGAGGTGGGGGAGGGGGTGTAAGTAAAGAAGGGGGGGAGGCGTATAGCTTCCTCCTCCTCCTCCCCTTCTGATTTTTTTCCCTCTCTTTTAGCTCATCAACACGATTTCACGACCCGTTTCTTGATTCCGATGACTTTTCTCTTGCCCGCGTTCATTTTCCTCTCCTCCCCCCCCCCTCCGCGCCGCCCCGGCTCTCCCTTTCTGCGAATAATGAAAAGTTTCTCTGGCTTATTGCTTCCGCGGCGGGTTCCCAGACAACCTGGCGGAGCCGCCGGCGGGTGCCTTACACAGAGTGGCCGCTAGATGGCAGCCTTGCTCCATGTGAAAAATCACCAGCGCCGGCTGGCTGCAGCCTGGCGGCTCCACAGTGCACCTTGTTCGGACTGGAAGCGAAGAACTGAGCGCTACCAGAAGTCATGAATAATTTGCACGTAATAAAAAAATATATGGGGTTCGTGGTCGTCCTTTCCCCCCTTTTTATAATAGATTCCAGATAGAGCGATGTTCTCACCTCTCCTCAAATGGTCAGTGTTGTGAATTTACCCTACGAGGAGGAGGAGGAGGAGGAGGAGGAGGAGGGCTCAACTGGTTCCCTCGCCCAGCTGTTTGTGTTCGGTCGGCCAAGAAATGCAGGACAACGGGGAAGATTAGTCGTGATAGAAATAATGGATACAAATCTAAGAGAATTGATTTGGGAAAATGGGAACTCTCCCGTGAGGAGAGGGGGGCGAAAAGGAATGGCTACGGACGCGGGTGCGGTCAGGTGGGAGAGGGCCAGCCGGCAGCAGGAGGTCGGATGGAGAGGAAGCTGCCCCGCAGAGGGCTGCCCACTGCGGCGGGAGAGGGAACCCGGTGAGCCATCCCAGACTCCCCCAGTGTGGAGAGGAATGGAACCTCGGATTTAGGGGGGAGAGGTGTTCAGAGGGGGCGCTTCAAGCCCCCGGGGCTGATCCGCACCGGCTCAGGATCCTTTGTAACTGGGCTGGGGTCTGGGCTGGGTTGGGCTTGCGCCTGTGGAGACCCAGACTTAGGTCGGGCTTTGCCCCCTCCCCCAAGGCGGCGGGTTGCGGGCAGGCTCGACTATCTCTTAGGGTGATCAGTGGGACCCCAAGTTGGTAAGCCCTCCCCCCCAAAATGCGCTGTTAGGGGGGATAGAAATGGGGACCGGTTTGGAGGCAGGGAGCAGGAGTTCGGGTTTCCCCCGTCATCGGGGAGTGGCCCCCTCCTTACTACCAGGTGAGATTTGCGACTTCTGGGACCCCCGCCTTGGCCTGGGTAAATCTTGGGGTCGTGGGCCCCCATGCAATTTAACAGCTGGAGCCCTGGAACCATGCACTTTCCGTTCTGAGCCCGACGTTGTCTGCCCATGGCTTCTTCAACGCCCAATCTTTTCATTTCTTCGCCGTTCCTTCTGATCCCTACCTCTGAACCTCGGCAAAATAGACACCCACCCACTCCCCGAAAACTGACCCTGCCTCTTGTTACACAGTCCTCCCCCCCTCCCCGAGCGCAGGACCAGGTGCAGAGAAGCAAGCCGAGTTTCTCTACTTGAATTTCTCTAATAAATCTATGCTCGATTCGGTGTTTATAAATTACCTCCTCGCTCATTCTTTTTTTTTTCTTTCCTCCCTTATAATAGAAACATTTTCTTTCCATCAGAAATTTCTGGCAAGGCACAAGGATGATTTAGAACAAGCCACTGAATTTCTACCTTGCCAGTAAGACCTCAAATCATGACCATAAAATCCCCCCCCCAACATACACACGCAATATATATATATATAGTATATATATACTATATATATATATAGTATATATATACTATATATATATATATATATATATTTGCTTCCATAACAACTTGACTCTACCTTCTGAGACACCTTCACTGACCCCTCAACCTGGCACTGAAAATTCCAGAACCTAGTTCTCTTTCCTCTTTGCTTCTTTCTCTCCCCTTTTTGGTTCCTTCCTATTCTTTGGGCTTAATTTTTTTTTTCTTTCTGTCAGTTGTAGGGCTTGAACTCAGGGCATGGGTGCCTTTTCTGAGCTTCTTTTGCTCAAGACTAGCACTCTACTACTTGAGCCATAGCTCCACTTCTGTTTTTCTGGAGTTAATTGGAGATAAGAGTCTCACAGACTTTCCTGCTCCAGGCTGGCTTTGAACTGTAATCCTCAGATCTCAGCCTCCTGAGTAGCTAGCCACCAGCGCCAGCTTAGACTTACTTGTGGAGGACTGAGTGAAGGTGGCTGGTAACTTTCCCTTGGAAAGCTGCTGGTTTCCTTTTGACAAAGGTTAGGGTGTATGGAGGATCTTCCTAAAATGCTTCTCTCAAAGCAAACC